TGGATATTGTTACTATGCAAGGACAAGTACTTGAAGTGGTTACCTGTTATAAATACCTAGGTATCTGGCTTGAGGATCGTCTTACTTTTAAACTTCAGGTCAGTAATCTGCTTAAAAAGCTGAGGGTTAGGCTAGGTTTCTTTTACAGAAATAAGTCCTGTTTCTCATTTGAAGCCAGGAAAAGGCTAGTCACTGTGACCTTTTTACCTGTGCTGGACTATGGTGATTTGATCGATATGAATGCACCTGCCCATTGCCTGGAAAAGTTAGATGCCGCATATCACAGTGCTCTGAGATTTGTTACTAACTGTAAAGCACTTACTCATCACTGTACCCTGTAAGGCAGGTCTGCTTTCACTAACTGTACGGAGGCTCAGTCATTGGTACATGTTCATTTACAAAGCCATGTTTGGTAAACTACCTTTTTATATCTGCTCTCTGATCTCTCGACGAATTGAAATTACTTATTGCCTGAGATCTCATGATGTTGTTTTATTAAATGTGCCAAGTGCTAGGACTGTCTTAGGGAAGAAAGCTTTTAGTTGTGCAGCTCCACTAAATTGGAACAGTCTGCAAACATGTTTAAAACGGAGAACTTTGGTTCCCCTGCATCATTTTAAAACTCGGCTGGGTGACATGCTGTTTGATACTCATGGTACCTGTGACTGTAAATAGAGTTTGTAAACTGTACCCTGTACATTATGTTGTATGTCATCCTTATTCTTGTTCTGTTGTGTTTATGTTACATGTGTAACTAATGTGCTGCAGGTCACCCTTGAAAAAGAGATCTTTTGATCTCAAGGGGCTTTCACCTGGTTAAATAAAGGCTACAAACAAACAAACAAACCTAAGACCAAATTAAACTATAAAACAGCAGCAGCCAGACAAAGAGGTTTTTATGCACACCGGCAGTGTATTTCTGACTCTGTGTTTGTGCATGCAAACATGTACTCGCTTGTCTTGGAGTGTGTGTGTGTGTGTTTGCTGTAGCTGTCCCTGGCACAGGCAGTGCACATAAATCACGGTGAGGTATTGAGCCTTTCCCTAATGAGGGAGCATGTTGAAGTCAGGTTTTACTTCCAGCATTTTCTGTGGGTGAGAGCCTGCGCTGTGGAGAGATCACCCGCACACACTTATCCTTAGATGAACCTGACACCTCTATTCTCCCTCTGCGGTGAGATGAGAGAGAGAGAGAGATTTTTTATTTTTTATTTTTTTAAAAACACTTTTATTTACATTTTCAACAAACAATTAAATTATGAGGTCCACCCACTTGTGACCTTCTCCCAGCCGGATTCATAAACCTCAGTAGAACCTATACTCCAGTGTTCGCCTTTTTTGACCCTTCTCAAAATTCTTTTCCACACTCCCCTTTGATTTGTTCCACCGCACCGACGAAGGGGTGTGACAGGATGTCTCGTCCCACGACCAGTAGTTTGTTGGACTATCGATAGGTCGGAGACCGTATGTGAGTTCACACCCACTGGGACGACCAGAAAATTTTTCTACCGTTCGTCATAAAAATTTAAATAAAACCCTATTCAACGGATAGAACCAAGGAGTCACGTGGGACATGGACGGTTTCCTTCTTCCCCCCTTCCTAACCACGTGGACCTCTGCAGCTCGTCGACGAAAATTTGATGTCAACAAATGTTTCTATGACTGTTCTTTGCTACTTAAGCAGACCTCCGGCCATCGGGTCAGTGGAAAATTCCCCCCATCGTCCGGACCAAACCTACGCAGTAACAAAAATTGTTTGACACCTAAAATGAGCACCACACAAAACGGAGGCAACAATGTTTCCTGAAAAATTCATAACCTGTGAAAAATTTACCCGGTCTCACCAGGCGTCGGTAGAGACAAGACCGAGACCTTCTCGGAGACCACACCTCGGCGCGACCTGAGTTGACGTCGTCTGACGGAGTGACCTCTCCGAAGTCAAGCAACCCAGCCTTCGCTCCTTGTATGCACCTAGCGAACGTCCGAAGACCTGGGTGTTTGTGGCCTCCGGCCGGAGAGACGGCCGGACTTCAGCCGGGCGGTGTGTCTTGGTAGGACTTGCTCACCTAAAGTTTCCGATTAGACTACTACTCAACCTCTACGACGGCCCTCATAGGTTGTCCTTCCTTTGGGGACTGCTTCCCGCTGGGAAAGGCCCTGTAATAGACTGTACCCTAAAAATCGTCTGGTCCTACCTGGTCTTGGGTCTTAGTACGGTCTGAAGGGTTTACGTCTTCGCCCTTTCCAAAAAATATCTGAGACGGTGAAGACCGGGACTGTTGTTTGTCTTTGATTCGCTCTCCTCTCTGTGCCACACCTTTGTTCTCCGAATTGCAGGGCCCCCCGACACTTGGTCATACCTCCCAAGAAGATGTTTGGAGTGACTTGTCTCGTAGCCCTCTGGACGGTCACCTCCTAGGAGGTGGCCGGACCCGCAATTGCCGGAAACACCCGCTTCTAATTTGGGGTGGCACAGGAGGCTCACAGGCAAGACGTGAGTGTCCCTCTGTTAGGTGAGTGACGATGGACCTGAACAGTGTCTGACTTCGTGAGGAAAATTACATAAATTTTTAACACAAAAATCTAACTCACCCCTTCCAAAAATGTCTCTGACGAAAATAAAAACCAACGACCGATGTTCTTTGCCTTACGGTCCCTTCACCCTCTTGCAACTTAAAATTAACACCCCGTCCGTTTATAGCAAGCTACGATGTTTCGTCTTTTTTGTTTTATTTGTCATGCGGACAGTCGTTGAGCGAGTGTACAAAAATTAGAAACCATTTCCGTGCTCACTCACATCTAAAATCTAAAGTGACAGACTACTCTTCATACCTTTCTCAAAAATTCGGGCCACCCCAAGAGTGATGGTCGACACACGAGACAGCCACCCCTCCTCGAGCGAAAATTGAGACAGAAAACACATTCGTTTTGTTTTTGTTTTGTTTTTTTCCCTTTAAAAAAGAGTTANTTATCCAAAGCGACTTACAATAAGTACATTCGACGAGGAAGATACAACCTTGAAGAAAACAGAATCATATAAGTACATCAGGTTTCATAGAGCCAAACATTTCAAGTGCTACTCAACTGGCTTTAGATAAGCCAGTCCTTTGTTTGTATATAAGTGCTTTGTTAGTAATTCTATCGCTCGAAATGGAGTCGAAAGAGATGAGTTTTCAGTCTGCGCCGGAAGATGTGCAAGCTATCTGCTGTCCTGATTTCAATGGGGAGCTCATTCCACCATTTTGGAGCCAGGATAGCAAACCCATGTGTTTTTGCTGATGGGAACTTGGGTCCCCCTCGCAGTGTGGGTGCAGCGAGCTGTTTGGCCGATGCAGAGCGGAGTGCACGTGCTGGGGTGTAACAGTCAAGTTGATTCTCCTGTTACAAGCACGGATACTGTGCAGAAAAGGATTATGAGCAAGACTGTTCGAACAAGAAAAATGAACCCGAGGTTCCTTTAAAATGCCTAAAATGAGCAATATTTACTTTGAGCGAGGCAGTTTCTAACGTATTGTCACCTCAAGGCCAAGTCAGGGCTGCCTTTGGCTTTGAATCTTATTTGACTGACTTTTCGGTCAACTCTCCTGAGGGCACGTGTCCAGCATCTTTTGTGTTTCCAATGAGAACAGAACGCATGCCACCACATGAAAAAGCGCTGCACCCAGAAACTTTTTTCCAAGCTCTCCACTTTTTTGTTCGCCCGCCCCAAGCATTCCGAGTTGAATATATTTCAACTTTTCAGAAAAGTGCCGTTGACGACACTGCAGAATAGGAAGAGAAGCTTGTTTTTGGCAGTGTCTGCTGGAAGGAAACTATCATAACCAAGACAAAAAAAGCATGTTTCCTTGAGGGGATTGGTGGGTGCTGCTGCCGGTGAGACTTTACTTGTCTTCATCGCTCTACGGCTGTCAGACTGAGCGGTGAAGCTCATTCAGACAGAGTGTGAGAGCAGGAACCTTCCAGGTGGTGCTCATGGTGACAAATGTCAAAATAAATATTAAGTAGCAATAATACACAATACAATTCAACGGGGAGAAGCTAGTCGTACAACAGCAGTGATAAGCTGTCGAGATATTGTTTTCATAGAAACAATAAACAAGCCCTGGGAGCGTTTATTTGTATCTTTCTGAAACACCTGAAGCAGGCACTCCCCAGCGCCTTTCTGCCAAGAGAAGACACGTGATAGGTGACATTTTTGATGAGTTTGCCAACGCTTCTCATGGGTTATTTGGAAGGGCATTGAGCGATGTCATTTATATATTAAATAAAGTGGTTTTCCACCACACCTAGACTCGACTTTTAGACCAAACTGAAGCACACACCACCAGCACCACACAATAAAACATGAAACAGTTCAATAAGTCCTGTGATTGTGGGAAAACCGGTGTTGCACTTGCAAGTCATTTCTGCTCCTTAAGTTTTTATTATGTTCTGCAGAAAATAGCTCCTAAAAAACAGTGATGTTGTGTGACGTTGTATGTGGAAGCAAATGTTTTCGACCATTACATCAGTGAGCTGGAGTAAAGAAATGTCATTCACTTCTTATTGGTAAGCATTAATCTCCAAACAGAATGTCTAAACAAAGACATTCAAATAATAAAGTGTGGCTGGATACCACCGGAACAGACAAGCAAATGTGTTATTGATATGGGAGAACCATGCAAACTTAAATATAATACTGTGGTTATTCATTGGTTCATCTCTTTGGTTGACAATATTTCCTCTCGCATGTTTCCAATCCTGATTTCTCATGCAGATTTAATGGAGTTGATTAATATATCAGCTGAAATCCATCTGTGCTCAGCAGGGTCGACGCTTTGCAGCCAGGCAGCAGACCCTCAGGTGTCCCTCTGTCTGAACTAGGGTAAAACTAGGGCAGGTCATAATAACACACACACACACACACACACACACACACACACACACACACACACACACACACACACACACACACACACACACACACACACACACACACAGAAATATGTTCAGTCTAATTAACAGTATGTGCTGGGCTCCTGTGTGTCTGAGAGAGGCTAAGTATAGTGTTTCATTTGAAAGGAAGCTGAAATGCAGTTTGGTTTCTCCCTCTCCATAACCATGAACATTTCACCCGTTACCTTGGTGGCACGAATAAAGGCATTCTGATTCTGATGAGCTGGATTAAACTGTAATTTATATACTATGATATAAGTTTCTGCTACTGTAATACTGTAAGTCTATATTTTTCTGCTTTAGTATTTTGGTCTTTATTTTGGTCAGTTTAACTTATCTAGAACATTTTATATTGTGTTTTATTTGTCGTTTAAAGAAAAAAGATCGACTTTTATTAATCCCTCGTGGGGAAATAGTTTCTCTGCATTTGACCCATCCTAGTGTGCTGTCATTTTGAACGGCGCCCAGGGAGCAGTGTAGGGAACGGTGCCTTGCTCAGGGACACCTCGGTAGCAGTTGGTCTTGCCGGGACTTGAACTGGTGACCTTCCAGTTACCACCTCCCTATCGACTTCACCACCACCACCACCCCGTTTATGTCCTTTCTGCTGTAGATATGTATATATAATGTATAAATAAATATGTTTTTGTTTTTATTTTATTATGTTTATACTTTATTCCACCTTTTAAATATTTGAATGTCTGAACACACAGCTGCTGTAACAAAATATGTCAATTGTTTTCTATTTATCCATCTATTACATATAAATATATTAGTATAAGCCTTTTCATTCTTAGTGTTAGACTGACACCATAAACACACATATAATAATAGAATAATCAACGTCTAGTGATGGCCGAGGTGTTTTACCCTAACCTTTTAAGCCCTCGTCTTAGGAAAAAGGGCTAAAATAAGCTACCCAGAATGCATTAGGAATAGCTCTTCAGCCTTAATGCTCACGTGCACATTTCTGCTCCCATTTGAAAGATAAGAAGCTTAAGAATAAAGGTCATTGTAAGCATAAATATTCATTACCGTTCAAGCGTTAATGGAAATGTACTATAGGAAAAAATACACTTTATTTAATTTAAAGGGAAAATCCCAAATACAATATAACCACTGTTCCAGGGCTAATGTCCGGTTTACTACAAATGAGGGTGTTGTTTTGGCACTGTTCATTACTTTAATGTTGGCACTTAACTGAGAGTTTTACCTTTAGTATATTATTTATTTCGGATATTAATTAGCCAGTTTGAAAGTAACAAATGCTATGGTAACATATAGAAATCAGAAACAGGTTTATTGCCAATAAGGTTGACACCTATGAGGAAATGGCCTTGGTCTATAACAGTGGTCGCCAACCGACCAGTCGATCGCGAGTGTGGTGTGGGTAGATCGCGCACAGTTAAAAAAAAAAAAGTAACAAAAGAAAGAAAAGTGAAAAAAAAATCTTCCACCTCACCGTTAGCAGGTGCCACTTGATTGACATGTATTTGAGACCTTCCCTGTCGCTCCCAAAAATCCTGGACGTACATAAATACAATTGGAAGTATTAATGTTTTTTTTTACGAGCTCCCTTGAATCAGCCGTATGCATAGACTACTGACCAATGATATACGAGAAGAGAGCGGGCCGTTAACTGTTGCATACATCAATATTAAAATAAGATAACAGTTAGATAAAATGGCGGAGGCTCTACGAAAGAAGGCGAAAATCTACCATTTCCATGAAGGATGGGAAGAGGAATTTATTTTTACGATGGTAAAGGACAAGTGTATCTGTATGTTGTGCCACCAAACGTAAGCACTGGCGAAAAGAGGAAATCTGGAGCGGCATCACAACACCCATCACCAGACATTCAAAGACAGCTTCCCACCCAAGAGCCAGTTGAAGAGCTGAAATCGAGTTTAAAGGTCCAGCAATCATTTTTCTCAAAGCCTGCTGCTCAAAATATGGCTGCCACTGAAGCATCATTTCACGTAAGTCACCTTTTGGTGAAACACAAGAAGCCTTTTACAGATGGAGATTTAATTAAGGAAACAATGTCCATTACCTCTGATACGCTCTTCAATGACTTCAAAAACAAACAAGAAATCAAAACAGCGCTAAAAAAGGTACTGCTTGGCCCCGCAACAGTCACGAGGAGGGTCGAGTCACTGTCAGAGTGTTACTTGTGACTATGTGAATACTTTTCGCTGCAGTTTGATGAGTCCCTGGATGTAACGGACACAGCTCAGCTTGTTGTGTTTGTCAGAATGGTTTTCCGGGATTCTACCACAAAGGAGGACTTCCTCACCCTTTTGCACTTAAAGGAGAGGACGAGAGGTGAGGACATTTACAGCGAGTTTAAAAAATACATCCTCGAAAATGACATTCCCATTCATAAAATGGTAAGCGCAGTGAATGCGTTTAAGGCCAAGCTTGGTGTCTGGACTTCACATCTGGGGAACAGGAGGATGCATCACTTTCCCTACCTGGAGAAAATGTTGCAGGCCATTGAAGAAAAAGGATTATTTTCACCCTGAGCAGTTCTGTTCTCACCTGGACAAAGTGGCAAACGAGTTCAGCCGGCGTTTTGGTGAATTACATGTGATGGAAGATATTGCTGCTTTCATTTCAAATCCATTCCAGCCCATTGACATTGAACAGGTGGCAGCCAGGGCCGTATCCAGGATTTCCTAAATACCGAGGTCCAAATAAATTAAGGGGGTTCGGGGGACACCCCCCAAGATTTTTGGTATTTTCATGATCTAGTTAGGTGCTTTTTAAGTCCTGTGGGGGGTCACACAACCAAAAATCTTGGGGGGTGTCCCCCGAACCCCCTTAATTTATTTGGACCNGCTTAACGGATATTAAAAGCTGTTTCTAAAACAATGAGAGGGAGAGCTCTCTCCTGTCAGACTGAGAGAGATAACAACAACTCAGTCGAGGTAAGGGACTCTCTGTTTAGATAGTTAACTTTAGTCTTATCTCAGTGGGTCTCAAACGTTTTGGTCACCATTTATGAGAATAAATGAAAACAGTTATGAAATACTATATGACAGTAAAACAAGAATACAGTTTAAAATGGGAGTGATTTGTAAAATATCCTATACAGAAATAGAAAATCTGTTTACAGGTCTGTTTCATATGGGTGTTGAGAGATGTATCCATAGATCTCTTAATGTTGCTCTCAAAGTGCACCAGATTGATGCTTTTAAATTCAATATTTTAAAAAAAATCTTCCCGGGGTAGCTTTCCCCCGGACCCCCCTAGAGGAAGTTAGGACCCCCCTAGAGGATGTATTGTCCACTCCCCACTTATAAAATAGCACTTTACCCCTGCTTACACCTATATGCCGTGAGCTGATTATCGAGCCTTCATTGTAACAGTTGCGGGTACACTGTGTGTGCGTGTGGGGAGTGTTGCAGTAGACCAGTGGTCACCAACCTTTTTTACCCCAAGATCACCGACCTCGGCCTAGGTGAAAGGCGAGATCTACCTATTGCAGAATTGAGTGAAAAAGACAGCCCAGACAGTGCTTCCAATTTGAGGCCTTTTATATAGGCTAATTGCATCTGAATTACATCAAATCATGTGGTGCAACTTCCAATTTGATTCAACCAAGAACACGACATAACTAACATTTCAAAAAATATCAATATATATATATATTAAACCACAAGTTTCATTCATTCCTTCATTACCATCCTAAATATAACATGTCAAAAAAGATCAATATACATATTTTAAGCAACATCATTCCTATCATTTTAAGTTTCATTCATTCATTCCTTCATTACAATCCTAAATGTAAATGTATGTAGCTTATTTTCCATTTGTTTGAGTGTATTAGTAAATTAATTTTTTGACAACAACAAAGAAAAAAATAGCAGAGCACATAACATAAAGGGCCATTTGAACTGTGAGGCTTAACATTAACATTAAAACAAGTTATTTTAACACAATTCTTAACAACGAGATTCTTTATCCGTGCAAAGAGCTAAGTGCAGTGAGTTCCAAAATATGCAGCATCACTTTTCACAATGCCAAAGTGCAAAACAGTCCTGTTAATGGAAGTCATTGTGATGGCTGCGACTGAACGCTGTCTGTGAGGGCTTTGTAGTCTGGCTCATAGCTACGGACAGCCAGTCTGATGCAGTCTGTCAGGTGTCAGTCAGTAAGGCGGCTCCTGTACTTTGACTTGATTATTTTCATCTGTGAAAAAGCCATTTCACAGAGGTAAGTGGATCCAAAGTACGCGCTCACTTTTAGTGCACATGCAGTGAGAAGCGGAAACTTCTCTCTGCTGACAAGTCCCCAAAAGCCACTCTCCTTTGACCTGCATTTTAGCTCTATCTCATTTTGCAAATCGATCATTTCCATGTCAACTCCACTTGCCAAAGTAAACACCTCTTGGAATTTATCTGCCACCTGTTCAATGTCAATGGGCTGGAATGGATTTGAAATGAAAGCAGCAATATCTTCCATCACATGTGACTCACCAAAACGCCGGCTGAACTTGTAAGCCACTTTGTCCAGGTGAGAACAGAACTGCTCAGGGTGAAAAGCCTCCTTGTCTTCAATGGCCTGTGACATTTTCTCCAGGTTGGGAAAGTGATGCAGCCTCCTGTTCCCCAGATGTGAAGTCCAGACACCAAGCTTGGGCTCAAACCATGGGCGTCGCAGCCATATATTATATGAGGGTGGTACAAGTCCCCCCCACCTTTTAAAATGATTAGTTTAGACCCCCCCACTTTTACCATGTGGAAAGTCCGTGAATCGGTCTATCCACTCGCCGCACTTTGTAGAGCGCTGTGTCAGTGCTTCATTATGAGCTGTACAAATGCTGCGTGTTTTGCGTAGCTGTGTCTTTAGTTGTAAGCCCAGTGGCGATCTGTTCACTGATATCATACAATAAAGCCATCGAAAAGAATAGGATACAGTATTAAAAGTTATTCTGGGTCTTTGTGTGTCATAGCTTGGCTGTGTGTGTGGCACGAGTGCATTTTGTGTGAGCGAGAGAGAGAGAGAGAGAGAGTGAACGAGAGAGCGCTAACTTACATAAGGAGTTGTCTACAACAAGGAGGAGGAGA